GAGGATAAACAAAGATGTAAAAGAAGTTTTTGTCAACATCTGTGTAATGATACAGAGCAGAAAACCGTGTAAAACTCTTCTCTCAGGAAAAAAAAAAGCAGTTTGTATTTTGTGTAATTGCATTTCCACACAGATCATAGTTAAATCTTTCAGATGAGTTAAAATTATTCTGTTGATTAGTTATTTTTTTAAGTCATCACTAATGCATCAGAAAACAATGTGGATGTGATTATTAATATATGTATGTTGCTTGAATATTATAATTAAAATACTTGTTTGGAAACTTGCTGTCTCTGATTTGTTGTTAAGGAATTTATTGTGATGTAGTGATGAAGTAAGGAGGAACTACTCAGTAACAACTGTTTGATTTATCACTTCACTGACTAAAGCTCTACAAACTGTAAACTACCACTTTAACCACAGCCAAGTAATGTAAAGTTTAATATTGCCTGTTTTTATGCTGAGAAATGTGGTGTGAACATATGTATGTTAGCTTAGCAGCAGGTGTTTTTAAAAACAGACTCTAAATGTTGTTAGCTGTAGCTACTGTTAAATACCACCTTTGCTGGTTGTGTTTGAACTAGTAAATTTATATTAGTCAATTTTCATACTTTTGTTCTTACAGAAAATGCTAAATGAGGTTTAAATGAATGATTGATAAATCTTTTATGTCCTTACAATGCTTCAAAACCATTTCATAGTCAATAGAAGAGCTGCTTAAAATGTCCTTGTTTGCCCAGCAAAGTAATTGTATTTAATACACTTATTGTGTTTTCATCAGGATGCCAGAGTCTAACAGGCCGGTACCACACCTCGTGACCCCCCCCCCACAACCAGCAAGAAATGGTAAGTCATGCACATGACTCAACCCCACACGTATATAGGCTCAAATTAGGGTCAAAATGATTTTGAGCTTGCAAAGTGATGTTCACAAATAATTACAATGTTTGTAGTTAAATCAACATTTGTAAACCTGTAAAATACATCTGCATGAGAAATTCAAGTTTGTCCATGTGAAAAAATTGTGCTTGTGTCGAAGAGATTTGTATTTGTTAAAAAAAAGTCAAAAACACATTCCTTACTATTATCTGTAAGAGATGAGTTGGCTGTTCTAGTGACTGCACAGGACAAATGATAACTGCCAACTGATTATAGCCTACATGTAGAAAATACCAATCGTGTTGTACTCAGCAAATGGACTGAATGATTACGATAAACTTAATGGTAAAGAAATGACACCAGTAATCTCTTTACGGGTTGCATGGGTATGAAATGTGGTCTGTTTACAATGCATCTTCATCAGCATCACAGTGTTTAAGATCCAGCACCCTGCTTTCATTCTCTCGGTCTGCAACATGAATGTTTACCGTCGCCATGGCAACGGGTGTCCCTGCAGTCAAGTCTTGTAGTTTTGCTTATAACATGTTCCAACGAACACATTTGTCATGTTTTGGTGTCTACATACTTCTGGTCATATTTAGCTCTCTGTGACTTCATTACCATCCTTCCTGTCCCAGCTCACTTGATATACTTGACTACCATTGTACTCCATTTCTTTCAAACTCCATACCCCCATATCTTTCCATTTTAAAACTTGTAGTCTTTCGCCTCTAATGATGTTCCCTCAAGTGAAATCACTCAAGGCAATTCATCATAAGTGCAGACATATTTCCCAAGACCTGTACTAAACTCTGATGTGTAAAATCAGAGTTTCCTATTGAGTAAGCATGTCACTTAAAACACTTTTTTAAAAGTTTTGGAAGAATGATTTCTCAGAAAAGTTTCTCGGAGGCACCTGACCTGACATGCAGCTGTAGTTGGTTTAAATTGGTGGGGGAAAAACAAATACAAAAATATGAGAATCATTATCACCGGCTGTACAATGAGTGTGTGTTTGAGTGGAAAAGTGGTGGGGTGCATGGTTGACATGTTATTTATTTGTCTTCTGATGTTTTAAAATGCCCTCTGACTCTCTTTTGGGAAGGTCTAAACAAAGGCAGTCTCCTGAGAATAAGGCAGAGATGGGAGAACATGAATTTTCTCTTTATATCAGACCCAGAGGCAAACTGTTTGTAGGACTTCAAAGACTGCAGCAGTGACTTAAGGAATCATTTCAGAGGAAGTTCAGAGGAGGGAAAGCTTTTGATATGTCATCTATTTACAGCCCTTTTCAAACAGTATGCAGGGGACGTTTCATTTGTTCAGTGTTTTCCAAGAAACCCTCTGGTTTATTGGGACAAACAAACCTTTGTGTGGACACGTTGATTCATTCTCTTGTTCAGATTGCTATCTGTGGTCACCAGGCCTGTGTAAATAGGCCCCATTTGAAGTGCTTTCTTTGTTCCATTTGAACATCAGTTTTGACAGAGAAAAAAACCCCAGCTGAAACACAGTGACAGCCATTTTATAAACCTTGATATGAACTTTCTTCTGATTAGTTACACTGGTTTTTGTGACTGACAGCACATGAGAGCATCGTCCTCAGTGAAATATTGATCTGTGTTAAGAGTTACTTCACCACTAGAGGTCTATGCTTTCCTCTTAAACATAGTGGAGAACAAACAGTAGATACAGAAGTTACAAAGAATTATAAAAGGTGAATGAGGCTGAAAAATGTACAAAAAATCTCTACTACCCTGTTATTTAAAAAAAAAAATTAATTTATTTTGCATGCAAATTGGTTTTATGAAACATAATTTGAGTGAAGAAAATGCCTCTGCAGTTTTGTCAAGTTGCCAAATCTTGGTTTACAATGAACTTTTTTTCAGTTTTACTAGCTGTGCTATTTTTAGATTTTATCACCTCCAGGCAGCGACAGTGAACGAGCCAGTAGTTCTTTGTGGTCCTCACGGACATCTTGAATGGTCACATGTCCTGCAGTAGGGATCAAACATGTGACCTCCCAGCAGCGTTATCAACAGTTGGGCCTCTCATTCACCAGATGACTTTAACTGATGATGCTGCTGACTTGTTCCTCGCATGGCATCTTTTGGAGATCATTAAGCCGCGGGCCTTTTTAGTTCACCAACCTTCCTCAGCGTTAATGAAGAGGCATGTATTTTATGTTTTCTGTGAGTTGTGTGTGCTCTTGTTTAACTGCACTTGTGAGAAAATACTGAATTAGTTTTTGTTCATGTTTAAAGAGGAATTCCTCAGATTTAGCCCAGAATAGGTAATTTTATTGGTCATATCTACTAGTAAGTCTGTGAAAACAGTTTTATGTTTCCTGTGGCTCTGGAGGACATTGTTTTGGCTTGGAGACTGTGTTTATGACTTGGGGCATGGAGGGTGAAAGATTTGCACGCAATTTGGGTAAAAAAAAAAAAAAAATGCTCTTGGTTGTATTGTGGGAATTTTCGTATCCAACATTTTTAGAACTTGACCCACGCTAAAAAAATTAACATATCTTGGGCCATGTTGCTCCAGTTTTGATGTGTCTCTTTGAGTCTAATTTATTGCAGTACTAATGTGGCGAACTACCCCTTTAAGATTAGGTTTAAATTGGGGTTAAAGAAGGAGGTTTGACACTTTGGAAATTGTGTGTATTTGCTGTCTTGCTGATAGATGTTAGATGTGACAACTGATACCACTCTCAGGTCTGTCCATTAAATATGAAGCTACAGGCAGGAGACCACAACAGACAGCACATTAATTAGTGAGCTTCAGAGGTGCTGGTAGGGGGATTTTTTTTTTTTTTTTTTTTACCTTTAGACAGAGCTAGGCTGGCTGTTTACTCATGTTTTGTATCTTCATGCCAAACTAAGCCTGCTGGCTGGTAGCCTGATATTTACAGTACAGACATGAGAGGTGAGTCAATCTTTTCATTTAACTCTTAGCAAGAAAGCAAATATTCACCAAAACATTGGAGTATCCCTTTAAGTGTAATGCATTGTGACAATATAGAAGTTTGCTTAGAGTGAAACTTTGGTGTATGATACCGTGCTGAGTCTGACCTCATGTAATGATGGAAACATGCATATTAATTCATGTGCATGTGCTGTAGCAAACTACTATAGTGTTGAGTTTTCTTGCAGCCTTTTAGACTATAGATAAAGAGACTTTATCAGCCTCTGAAATCCCACTGCAGTCAAACCCAGGAAAACAAACAGAAAATCAAAAGGTATTAAGCCTATGTCTGTTCTTCCAGTAGCAGATAATCAGGACTTATCTACATTATGAATTATGTGTTGGACACACTTTATCTCGCCCTCATGTCCACATTGTCTGATTTAAGAGGCTGGAATCAGCTGGATTTTGTCCTGCAGCAGGAGACAAAAAGAACAAAGTGCAACAGAAGTAAATAAATGGTTAATAATATGGATGCCACCTTTCTGTCCACTAACATTTAAATGGACTGTAACTATATAAGTAACTGTGTGTGTGTGTATGTGTGCGTGCGTGTCTGTGTGTCTGACACAAGAACATGGGTACAAGTGGGTGGGTGGTCTGTCTGTTTTGTGTTTCTGAGACAAGGAGGAGACATTAAACCGGACTTCTTCTCCACTGGCTGCCAAATAATTCAGCTGGAGTCACACCAAGCCACCAGTAATATGTTTTCCTGGACTGCGGAGCAGAATAGACCAGAGGGCATCTAATGAACCAGAAATGACAAATCACTGATTTTCCTGCTCATTTCAAAATGTGTGTTGGCATATTTATGCCTGGCGTGCATGTGAATCAAATGGATGGGAACGCAGCGGCTTAATGCACCATTTGTGGCTTATTTTCCAGATCTGGTCCATCGGTGCATTTTCAATCGTGGCTGTTTCCCCTTAAAAAGAGGCAGCGAAATCTTTGGGTATTTTAGTTTCAGTGAAAATGAAGCATTATTATGAGAGTAATTGGATTGCATGCAGGCAGATGATTGTTTTCCTTCATATGTTGTCTCAGAAATGAGTCAGGGGAGCGAATTATTACTACCAACAAGAAGGAACAAACCCATCTGTCCTATATTGTCTCCCAGCTCACATGGAGGTGTTGTTGTCAAAAGAACTGCAAAATAATGTTTACAAGAAATCTTTAATAAAAGACAAGTGTTACACCCTTGTAGAGAAGATTGACACAGATACATGATACACACACCATGTCATAGTTTGTCTTATGTACAAACACATTATTCAAGAAAATCCCATACGAACACATGTGCACACACACACACACACACACATACCCACACACACACACAGAGGGACCAATCACTACTACTGATAATCTTCCATATCAAAATATACCTAATGTATGTTTTTTTTTTTTTTTTGGTACAGTACACTTTTGCAGACAAAGGTGATCACTTGGAATGCATACAACGTGAAACAGGCTGTCCCAGTGCGCAGCGATGATCCACTGAGTGGAGAGACAGTCTAAAAAAATTTCCCTCACTGAACCACAGCATCAGGATGTTACAACTAGCTCCATGGAAATGGATGCAGCAGACTCAGGAAGATGAGAGCAAAAAGAAGGCAGAGGATGTGAGTGGTCAGGGGTGAGCAGGTGAAAAGGAAATAGATGGAGGCAGGCGAGATCAGCAAGAAAGGGAGAAAGAGCTAGAAGTGAAAGAGGTCATGTGTGAGAGGTTAAAGCGTTCCTTCATCCAGCAGTTTGTTGATGCCGTTGCAGATCTTCCTCAGAGAGAGTCTGTACTCCTCTCCGTCCCCGTACAGCTCGGCCAGGAACTCCCCGTGGGCAAAATGGTTGAAAACGTGATCGATGCGTGCATGTGAGCGAGCTGTCAGGTGCTGCTCGACCAGGGTGTGAAGCAGGTCCCTGCACTCCAGCAGGAGCTCTGACAGAATATTCCTGTCAAAGGTGTACTCCACCTCGTAGAACGACACCGCCGTCATGGCCGCCTGGTTCATCTTCTTCTTGAAGCGCTCCACTGTGTCCAGCTCGTCAGAGCTGAACTGGTGGTTGCGGTATAAGATGCCGATCTTCAGAGCAATCTTGATGACGTCCTTGATGATCTTGTGGGCCTCCTTCTTGCTCTTGGTGAACTCCCGGCTCGCCTTGTAGAGCTCATCCAAGATCTCGCTGCTAGTGTCATCAGTCAGCATGTTGGCCACCACCATGGTCGCCATCTTACTCAGGATCTTCTTCTGGGCCTGCATGGCCAGGGAGCGAGAGTTAAAGCTCTCCTGTCCTGAAGAGAGAGGAAAAGAGGGAGACACAGAAAGACAAAGGGTGTGAGGTTAGTCTTAAGGTCAGAAATCTTGACTAGCATTACTTATTTAAGGGAGCAGTGGACTGAACAAACAACAGTGGAATAATGATGTTACTGAAGTAGCAGCTTGTCATGCCCTGATACTTATACTACTGATACTACAGTATTAATAGATTGTTTTGTCCACTCGGGGGCAGCAGAACAAGCTGGAGAGACAATATTCACTACTATCACCTTATACATGTGATATGGTGAATTGGCATTTATTTGGAGTTATGTTTGTGTCCAACTGATGAATGTAAGTCTAATATTCACTTTTCTTTTAGCTCCATTTTGTGTACACAAACACCTGAGACAAATTGGCTCTGTAGCTTCTAAAGGCTCCACTGTGTTTACCAGCTCGTCTTTTCCTCTGGCTGAAGTGATTATTTTATTTGTACGAGTGAAACCTGGTGGGTTTTTTTGGGTTTTTTTTTTTTTTTTCCATAAATACAGTGAATATTGGAAACACAGTCCCGTGGAGGGTGACTTTGTGGATGACTATGCTCTTTAAGTAGTAGCAGGGTGTTTGTATTGTAAAAAAAACTGCGGCTCTGTACATGTTATTATTTTGGTCTTCTACCACCACCCTTAGATTTAAATATATTTACATGTAGCAGTTGGCCTCCATCTGGACAAAAAAGCTTTTGAAACTCTCTTGCCCCTTTGCAATAATAATAGGATCCTTCATTTTTTCCAGTTTTCACTCACATTACTTTTTCCTTCCATGAAGAACTCTGTGTACCAAAAAAGTCTGATCATAAGTATAGATTTCGTAGTTATTCAGAAGACGGCGCTGCTTTTTTGTTTCTTTAACTAACTTTAGTAGAACAAGAAAGTTGGGAGCAGTATTTAATGTCATCTCAATAAAGAGCACAGACTGAACAAGTGAAAGCTGAGTAGATGAAACGCGGTGCAGCCACATTCTACGGCAGGGCGGCGTCCTTCCTGGAGCTGGCAGTGGTGCGGCGGGCTGACTCTGGGAGGAATGACTATCTGCCCTGGATAACATCAAACAGCTCTACACAGATAAGATCCTCTTTGCACACTGTTTTTGTACAAACTGAGATTGATCACAGTTTTGCACTATGTCCCACTGCAGCCTCAATCTATCATAGAGGAGAACATCAAAGGCTGTGTGTCCTCATACAGCGATACCAGCAGCCTAACATGTGTCTTTGTGAATGTGAGGAGTGGGAGGACGGAAAGGGGTTTTATTTAGGTGCCACCCAGCTACAAATTACACACCAGATAACTCCTATTATGATTAAAGCCAAGGAAAGGGGCTTCACTTTTTCCTCCTGTTCCTTGGGCACATTGTCAACCTCCTCCTCCTCCACATCTATGTCCAGAGAGAGACGGAGAGAGAGGAAGAGAGAGAAAAAGAGAGAAAAAGAGAGTGTGTCTGGGGGCGTCATTGCCCAGTGGGCTTAGCACATAACAGCAGATGAGCCCAAATTCAAAGAGGAACACCTGCTTTGTTGTCATTATAATTTTATTAAAACAGACAGCTATGTGACCATGCAGAATTCACACCATTGTCACATCATCAGCTGTGTGTGTGTGTTTGTGTGTGTGTGTATTTTAAGTGTACACATACAAAAGAGGTTGAGTGCTGCATAACAATTGGGAGAAACCCAATATGTGGCGTTTCATGTGAATGTACAGAAGTGACATTTCATACATTGGTCTGAAGCTAAATGACATTTCATGTACATATAATTATCTCACCGTGACATTTAACAACTAATAAGGCAAATGTCTTTGTCTACAGTCCTTTCCCCAATACAAAAGATCTAATGATCCTTTTTTTTTTTTTTTTTTTCACTTCATGAGAGTGGGAGTGAGAGCTATTGTATGTTAGACAAAAGTGGTGTGAGTGGATGGGTGCATATGGAGATGTCAAACCTGCAGAAAGAACTCACGAGGATTGTTTAACTCTGAAAGTGTTAAAATCAACATTTCCACTGTTTGTATGATTTTTAAATCTGCTGTATAAACAGACGGGTGAAATGAATGATTATATCCTCGTGTTGAAACACTGGAAGTCAAAAGAGCATGTGAGCTTTAATGAATGGAGAGAGGAGTCGGCTTCTTTTGAACAGCTTATCTACAGAGTTAATAATAGTCTATATGGGGACCATATCTGGGAGCAATAGGTAGAGATGATCGCCAAGATATCGATATTCACATATATTCCATTCCTGTTTTCCATGTATTTTATTAGTCTATCTGTTTGAATCTTTCATGTGTTAAATGTGTGTTTGAATAGTGAAAAAGGTATATCCTTGTGAGGTAACAATAACTTAGAACTCATTGACTAGGACTAGGAGTAAGATTTCCTTTGTTTTTCTAAATGTGCAAAAGCAGTTTGAGTGAAAACGACAGTTACCAATTTAGTCTCTAATGTTCCAGCGTGTCATCTTGACTGTAATCCCCATAAATACACTCACCAATCAGTTCCTTCCCAATCTCATGATGCTCTTTAAAGTAATCACAATGTTTTCTAAAAGTAAAGTTCAATCAAATCTTTTCCTATTAGGAAAACAAGTTAAAAAGCAAACTGAAAGCAAATAAACTCTTATTAGACATTTACAGTTACTCATTTGGCAGACGCTTTTATCCAAAACGACTTACAAGGGGCATCACTAAAGCTTCAGGGCAGTGGGAGATCTTGGCATAAGTACTAAGCACTACATCTACTTAATAGGTGCAAGGAGATCAAGTAAAGAACTGCACCGAAAGTGCATACTATGTGCTACTTAGGCATGTTAGGGTGTTGGAGGTGTTAGGAGAGAGGGTGCACTCGGAAGAGATGAGTTTTCAAGAGATTCTTGAAGATAGAGGGACGCCCCTGCTCTGATAGCATTTGGTAAATTGTTCCACCATCGGGGAACCACAGACGAGAACAGTCGTTGCACTGCGATTGCCTTGTGTGCAGGTATTCCGTCTGAGACTGACTGTACCATCATTTCTGCTTTTCTAGACTGTATTTGACTGTAGTGTAGAGCTACTTGCTGGGTTTGTCCGTCTACTGGGCAAAATAGTGAACACTGGGTCTATCAAAGCTTTTCTTCCCCTGGCAACATCCGTCTGCAGCGGATATAAACAAAGTTAATGAGAGAGATGAGATTGAACCAAACCCTCTAAGTTGTAGGTCATAGAACCAAAACAATAAGCAGAAAGATGCTAAAACTCTGCAGAGCTGAGGGGAGTTTCAGAGTTAGCTGGTAATTCTCTGTGTGTTCACTCTGAGTGACTCTGTTCATGTTACATGTCGTCATTTGATCGATTTGGTGATTTTAAAAAAATTGATTAGTGCAGCTTTAGGTGAATTACAATGACTAATCTGAGAAAGTAATCAAGAAATGCATGTACACTAAAAAACAAGTAGGGATTAGTGGAGGATATATACTGTAAGTTACTGCTCTGTGTCCTTGGATGTGTGGAAGGATGATGAAGGATGTTAGTGGTGCAAATCTATAGTCACCGACACATTCAACATCTGTCGGGGAGAGACGAGTTAGTGTCTCATCCCCTGCAGGCTGCTGTTTAAGATGTAAACTATATGCCGTGAGATGATGAACAGATAACAGGCATGAATGCTTCACAACAGTAATACAGTAGGTTCCATGATATTTGAATAGCAACACCAGGATATATAACTGGTTTTCATTAGGCTGATCTGTGCCTCTCATCAACAGGCTCTCTTTGTCACTGTCATTTCCTGTTTCTCTGAAGCAGCTCTTTGTTCCAGTGAGCCTCTGATATTCAGAAACCCAACTGGATAGATTTCTGAAACCCTGGCACACTGATGAAGGTGACAGCTTGCTCCATAAAGCCGGCCTTGTCAGACCAATGGTCGTGCAGGCTATTTGGTTTTGGATCCCACCAGTATGTGTGACCAGTCCCTCTCTGAATGAATTTCTCTTCTGTGCAATGAAATAACCAAGATCTGTGATTATCACTGCGAAGATGGGTTTAGGTTATAACTGAGAAGAGTGCTGCATGAAAAGGAACGGATTGGATCTTTTCTGTTTTTAGTGCAGAGCTAAAACTGGGATAATTATTCTTCTGCCACCCCCCACCACACACCCTGGAGCCTTTTTCTGAGGACCAGCAGGTGGCTATCGACTCACTTGCCTCGACCCCTGTCTCAATCCTGTTTGTGCGTCCCAGAGTGGTGAAGAATGTAAGCAAAGACGCAGGAGTGTGGGGGGGAAAAATACTGCGAAGAACGGACACGAGGCTGCTCGAGGTGTGAGTCAGAGTGGTGGTGGGTGATTCAGAGTCTGGCTGGAGATTTTAGCACATACAGTAAATAAGGGTAGATGATTATAAGGGTGCACATGAGAAGTCCAAGCTCTCTCGCACACTCACGTACAGCCTGTCACCCAGAGGCTGAGATGAGTGACATGTATGAACCAGGGTGTCAGAATGAGTTAGAGAAGAGACCAAGCTGTCGGGAGAGATGGCCAGACAACTGTCCATCCCGTCACTTATCTCTCTCCTGCTCTCACACTTTCCCTCCTGCCTGCTTGTTGCTCTCTCCGCATCAGTTGTCCTTAAGTGTAACGGTTTCACAGAATAAAGTGGGTTCTCTGTACACTGAAAACAAACTGGGAGCAGAGTTCTCCACCAGTGTAGGGCCAGTCGCACAAGCCATCAGCCCATCAAAGCGGTTACATAAGAGTGTTTTGGGAGTTGGTGAAGTTTACTTTTAACATCAGGATTAGTAAGGTGCTCGCTGCTCTCTGGCCGCGGCTGTTGACTAGACAGTCTCTCTTTGTTCCGCCTGATGTTTTTAGAAGGCTGAGTCAACAGTTTCTGCTGCGCTGCATCAGAACATACATCCAGTGTGGAACATGGAGACCAGCCAAACCTGCCCTGCTAAAGGTGGCGCACTGCAAAAAATGTCCATCTGGGCTCATTTATGTTCT